TAATAGCCGTGAGTTTTCAAGTGCTTTCATTCTTCACAGGAATTCACCGAGATCTATTGTCTACTGCACGTCCTGTTTCTTTGGAAGCAGTGGGCACGATGGCTGGGGGCGGGCAGTTACTGACAACGTCATTGGTGGAAACTGCGAGAGTGCGCTTGTCCGCACCCACTCATTCTTTCCACGAGCGACGTTGGCACCAGCCCCCAACCCCCACTGACGTGCCCACTGACCTCAACGGAACTCACCGAATATTTTTCTTTCTAGAAAAATATGGAGATGTATAATTCGTTCAGAACGGGACCTTCGCCTCGCTGCCGAATATAGTGAATCTCGTATGCAAAATCTCATGGGGTATTCTTATGGATCGGCTCAAATCAAAGAAACTCATTACGCCAACTTTCGCTGTTCGTATTTCACAAAGTGTCGGTAAGCACTTGCAATTTGTCTAAACAGTCCAGTTGGTATATCTAATTATTATTCTAGTCATGATATTGTTATTTATTTGATTATTTGTTGCTGATTTTTCTAGCTCATGTGTTCACATTCTTCAGTTGCCCTCTACCAAGCCCTGGCAGATTCTTCACTCACATTCAGACCATTTTCGTAGAAATGAGTCCCGACTGAGTGAAGGTCTTTTAGCAGGTGAGTGGTTCGCGTGAGTTCAGTTTCATCCCGCACGATTACGCGCAAAACAGCCCTTCGCCCACTACACAGGGGGGGGGCAGGGGTGTCAGACGTGATGACTTGATTTTCCTATAAAATTGGTGCTATATTTGTGGTAAAGGCTCCAGCCAGATCGATATCGTGAGTCATCCTTCGGGAATGAACCTCAACGTGTTATATTCAGCTCTTTATAGCAGTAGGGCATTAATTAATACAGTTGTTATCGCTGAAGTTAGTACGGCGAGTGCCAGCTATGCGTGGGTTTTGGCGCAGCGCTAGCCCTTTTCCCACAACCCCTTGAAAGCGAGAAGCCGCCGCGGTCGCTGGATTCGGGCTGGAGCCAGGCAAAAACTCATGGCCCGCTGACACGCACCGACTCACTTCAGTGAGTACAATAGTGAGAGCTATTGAATTCTCATCTATTTCCTCTCGCATCACGTCGACCTTCCTGATTTTGGGTTCTTTATTACTGTATTGCGACAGCACTGTATTCTACTGTATTATAACTTTTCAGCGAGTTTCGGTAGTGCGTTGGCTTTTCTCTTGACTGCGCTGTTCGTTAACTGCACGACACCAATGTTGGCACTCGCTCTGTTTACGTTCATGTGAGTTTGAAGGCACTCCCCAAGCTAATATAGTATGGGCGGAATCAGACGTTCCATTACGTACCCTATTCATTGGTACCCATTTCTGAGATGAGCAATGGAGGGACATTGATGCGTCCGACTCCGCCCACACGGTCAGCGTGGAAAACACGGTTTTCATCCATGATCTGCGCAAAATCTCATCTACTTTTCCGCTGCTCAGCCACATCAACACGCCGCCTTTCCAGGTATGGGTGCATGGGCGGATTCTCCAGTGGATTTTATACATCACTGCTCTCATTGGCTCCTCGGTATACAAGTACCTTGTCAGCAATGTCGCTATTTGTAGGAGTAGTTGCACGATTGTCAACACCTCCACTGGTTGGATTCATCATAAAAACGGTAGGCTATCCTTTTCTCCTGATTAGCTCAACGTCTGGAAAAAAATAACGGGAAATATCCAGTAATTGTTCGAAAACATGTCATTCCTCCGGAGAACCTTTCAAGGCGAAGATCGAGTCAGTCGGAGATACTGCGTGGACTGAGAATGCACTTGGAATTGCCCTTTCTCTGACCCAGGGTACGTGACAAGAGGATCGTAATTCGCCGCGCTGCTCGGCGTCGCGTGCGACGTCTCGCCCGCAAAGGACGATGGTTTCAGGTAGTAGATGGCGACAACATGCAATTGACGGGCCGAAAACAGTAATGACTGTCCACGATGACGGGGTCTACATGAAGTCCGGTGCTCCATTCAACACGTTGAAACGAGTTATGAAAACGGGGTCCGCGGCCCGGTGAACGCCGCGCCCATCGCCGCGCGTGGCGGTGCGGCAAATTACGATCCTCTTTACCGTCTCCCCTCTGACAGGGGCCTGTTAAACCTGTGGAGGAGGGGAGGTACAATCCGTTACTGTCCAGTAAAGGGCGGGGTTCCGTTTACTTGGCTGTGGGCCCCACAATGATAGATATTGCCAGGTTTGACAAAGACGTAGAAATCCTATGTATAGGGTTGTGTGGATGGGAGAAGAAAACGCAATGAATTTTTCTATGAACCGACTGCTCGAACGGCAACTGTCAGCCTCCGACGCGCTGACAGCCTTGTTGGACTCTCCTCCTATAAGACCCTAACGCAGGAGGGAGACTTTTGAAACAACTCCAATTTATGGGGTCCCGAGACTTTCTCCCCGACGACATAAGGTACCCTATCTGGAACTGTAGGAAGCCAGCCACTGAGAGAGTTTATGTGCTCCAAGTATTCGCTCTTATTTGACCACGGAGGATTGCTTGTTATTCAACATGCCCTAGCAAAAGTAACTAGCAAAAGTGGAACGTGCCCCTCTTGCCGAACGGCGCCAGCACGCCTGCCACCATTTGCGACCATTTGCGTATTATGCCTTTGAAAACTATGTATAAAGGCATCGCTATAGCAGAAAATACGATCCACTCTCTTCTAGGGCACAATGACGGAATGGCAGATTCTTTTTGCCATTATTGCAGTTGCTAACGTTTTCTCTGGAACGATATTCGCCATATTCGGCTCAGGTGATTCAACGCTCGTTAACCAAATTTTTTTCAAAATTTTCTTTTCTGAAGATCTAAAAAAGCGACTCTCTGAGGGGTCTGAGCACCAGAGAAACAGAGTTACCTATTTCAGGAGATGTCCAAGATTGGGGTAATGATGATCTACCAGAGAAAGAGAAGTCCATGGAAAGATTAGATGAGATCGTGCTCATCGAAAGCAAATTTATGTGAGGGAATATGAATTGTTATTCAGTGTTCAGACTTCGCGATGACGCGCGACGGCACGCTGTAGCGCTCGTCGTCGCGCCACTCCACGGAATGTAGCATGCATGGGTATCGATCGGCGAATTCGGGGAGGGTATAGAAGAATAGGAGAGTACCAGACTGTGTGATTAGGGACGCATCCTCCTACTCTATACTCACTCGATACAGTAGCGGCTAGCGCCGATTAGTGATCGTAAATGCCGCCTTCCCGTCTTTAGTACTGTACTGCCGTGGCAATGGCAGCGCGTCGATGCGCGTCATCGAGAAGTATGAACGCTCAAAACTTTTCTGCTCTTTGACTTTACATCGTTACTTTCTCTCTACTTCCCTTTGCTGATTTATTCTTCATGCTCGAGCGGATCACTAAGGCAGCGTTCATACTTCGCGACAGCAGCGGCGATCGCGGCGATCGCCCAGGGGAAGGAGTTGGCCCTATCCCGACCTAAAAAGAAGTGAAACCTTCTTACCTCATATTCCAGATCTGCTTATGTATAGAAAGTCGTAGCTTATCTGTAAGTAGCCCTTATCAAGAGTAAAGAAGGTCTTACAAGTTGAATTCCCTTCAGGGTCCATAATAGCGTTGGGGCGCGCGCTGCAATGCACCGACGATCGCGGCGATCGCCGAGGTCGCCGCGATTGCCGCGATCGCCGCTGCTGTCGCGAAGTACGAACGCTGCTTCAGTGACTTAATTTTCGCACAATTTCTTCGTAAGATGAACCGCAGAAGATCAGGAGGATGATCTCAAAACAAGGTCTCCTTGTTAAGAAACAGAAAAATCATTGTTGGTAATTGTTGTACTGGTTGTTGTTCAGAAATTAAATAAACTTTTCTTTCTGCACCGGTGCCGTTCCTGTCTAAACATTTTTTTTATGATCATAGTCCCCGCAAACATTAGGGCTTATGGAGGGTTGAGTTGGAGCGGTGTCAGATCAGCCATTTTTGCCGATAGTAGCTCAGTCAGGGTGACATGGTTGGTGGAATGGGCCGCCCTGGCAGCGCTCCAATTCGCTTCCCGTCATACGCTCTACTCTGACGAGTATCGTGTCTATAAATTTCGTGGTAGTCTTTACTAAACCCGTTTGCCATAAAAGGCATGCCATGTTGAGAAGCTGACCGGCGCCGCGTTTCCGGGTGTGGCCGTTACTTCCGAGTCGTAGCAAATGCGGCGAAGTAAGCGTGCCAAGAAGAGCGACACGCAGCATTCGCTCCAAGATCGAACCCACTCAACGCTGCAGCTTTTGTCAGCGTCCCTCGAGTAATGCAGCCCTCAAATGGAGTGACAAGCAGCAACTCCATGGGTTACAGATAAACTATGAACCAAAAGGCGTATCCAATAAGAGGGGCCAGCAAATAGAGCCTTGTCCATTGCGGATGCTAAGGCTTGCAAAGGGCCTGGGCTTGGCGCAGCGCCAACCTGTTCTCCACCGATTGTGGCAGCAGGCAGGCGACCACAACAGGTGCAAAACGGGCTGGCGCCGCGCCGAACCCAGCCTACCTGAAACGTCCGCGCGTTCGCAGCGAACAAGACTGTACCTTGAAATTCGGTCACTGTACCCCGGGTGCTCTGATATCCACGGGGAAGGGCACTCGGGTATCACTACCCTCCAGCCCCGTCTCCGGGCCCCTTTGAAGGCGCGTGCAAATGTGGACCCTCTCACCTCGCGAGGAACAGGAGTCATAGAGATGTACACTTTGTCTCAATGTTCACTTCAACACTTCTGATGGCAGAATCAAATTCCTTTTTGGTGCTCGGCAACGTTTTTCCGGAGCTTCAAATACCAGCGTGGTTCTCTTGGAAAATGACTTCTTGGCTCTGTCGAGCAATTATTCGAGCGCACCTGTGCTCTGGGTACGCTATGGTGCTTGGGAAAACTTTTCCTGAATAGGTGAAACTAGTGGTAAAGTGACGTGCTCCCACCTAACTCTAAGCCGAACGACGCCCTCAATTGTTCACGACCTATGTAGTACTCAACCTATGTAGTACTCGTTTTCATCCACAACAGTAGCTGGTGTTGAGGCTTCTAAATGAGTCTATGTAAGACAACATGTGAGGATCCCCATCTTTCTTTTCTTTTTCAATGAGAACTCCAAGTATAAATTTGAAATAAACTTGATTTTGCAGAACCAAGCTGGAAAAGTGCCAACAGCTTTCACAGTGCGTGAATCTGCGGCGGGAGTTTTTTTTCTCTTTGGCTACTGCAGCAGAAAAATGTCATTGTAATCAGAAGCACGTGACGTTCGACAGTCGTGAGAGCTAGCGCTTGGGAGCCCATTTTCCGCATAGTGATTCCTCGAAAAAGATTTTCCGGCGACATTTTGAGATGGCTTTACGACTTTTTCAAATAGTAGAGATACTCTGTGCTCACAAAATGGTCGGAGTGACCCCACAACTGCTTTCACACTAGCCAACATAGGCGCTCTTATTGACAGTTGGATTCCTCGAACCTTTAGCTTTTCATATACGCAAGTGGGTTGCGCCTCTCGCGAAAAACTTTCAACCGCCGTCCACGCGCGCAGAAGAAGGGCTGGGGTATGGGTCATTATTTTATGAGTGCCTGCGATTTTCGCTCGAAGCGGTCTCGTAACCATATACTCGCCTAACTCCGGTAAGGCAGCGTTTTGTGTCCGAAGGTCAAATACTGGATCAGGTCCGCCTAAGCCAACAAGCCTTCTTTCCTCCGGCGACTGGGTAAATTGTACCGGCAGATTCGTGCTGGGAGGAATAAAACGCAAGTAAGAAGGAAGGGAGTAGAGTAGAATGGTGGAGCACATCGAAAAGGGATTCATAAATTGCGAAAGCTTCATCTATTTCAATATTTTGGGACGGCAGAGCACCCAAGACATCTTAAACCACAGCAAGAAATAGAGAAATCATCTTTCTCTGCGTAATGTCACGACTATGGGAGCGATACGTAGCGCTCAAGCCAGGCAATCCTTAGGCTGAAGGCGAATTCTTATACATGTGGTAAGCATTCGTTCCTTCAAATTTCTAGCACTTAATGCCATCCAGCGAAAAAATAGAGAGCTGGCACCATCACGGGGTTGGCGGGACTTCTACAGAAATGCCAGTGAGATCGAAGGAAATCAAGGACGAAAAACCTCAGATAAAGTTTCTTGTCAAGGTTTGCTCCGCGTTTTAAAACCTTCTTACGGCAAATATTTTTCCGAGAAATATGTAAGCCTGTAAGAAGCGTTCTGATGTGTTTGTTTGATTTTAGTCTCTGAGCTTCCACTCAGAAATTGGTGTTCTACTGCACATGTTCTTTAACTAATGTCTAGGGCGGAATAAGATAATATGCCGCTACAATTGTCTAGTTACGCGCTTAATTTCCACGCGAAATTTCCCAGTTAAATAACCAGAAATTAAGCTGCGTGGAGCGGACAGTCCAAGGTGAAGTGTTGGCAGCGCAATGAGAAACGGGAAAGGAAGAAAGAGAAAGTCAACAACGCGAAAATAGCCTAAAAAACAATGCGATCGCGCTGCTCTCGATATCAACCAATACGAATCCCCACCCCCGTTTGGGATCCCGTAAAAGACGATGTGCATTCCCGCTATACCAATCACCATACGCCCTTGCTGAAATAAAAACGTGCGGCGAAGTTCAGAATGAAACGGGAACGAGAAAAACCGAGAAAAGTCAGCAACCAAAAACTTTTTCCTCGAGAGCAATACGACCCCTCTAGCTGGGAACTCACAACTTAGAATGTGACCGATACCAACAGCAATGAGAGTACCCACGATTAACGTAGAGATCAGGGCACTTCGTGCAATGGGGATCCTAAGCAGTACACGTCCTGCCACTGGTGAAAATTCTCGAAAATACGACCCTCCCCGTGAACAGGAAAAAATCAACTATCGGAAAGGTTTTTATCAGCCGAATACGGTCCCCCCCTCCAGCGACCAAACAAGATCCCCCGCTGGGGACTTCCCAACGTAGCACGTATTCTCCTCACTCCCCCTTGCTCGACGGTAATTCTTTGGGGAAAAGTGATGCCGAGGAACCATAAGAAAAAAGCTTTCAAAATGGTGAGAAGCTGCAGTAATTGAGGAAAAGTACGTCGGATATGGGAGGGTATGTTGTGCCAGTGAAGGAACTTTCGGGGGGGGGTAAGAAGGGTTGTACTTGGCAAAATCTCTTCCCAACTGCAGGACGTTTCCTAGCCTGCTCCGCTGTTTGCCTTAAAGGGCCTCTACGTACTCATATTGGTGGTCCCGGCACGAGGTGCCGCGGCGTGGTTGACACGCGCCGCGCGGCCGCACCGCGGCTGCAACCAACTGTTGTGATCGAACGATCGATGCGTCGTGCTCTTTTCCCGGCAGTGCATTCGCACCGACGTGCGCTGGGTCGTTGTTTAGTAGTGCATTGATTTTATTGATTACTTTGTTCTATAAATGCTGTGCTGTCCCGGAGCCTGACGGCTACCTTACTGTTATAAATAACACTAGTAGGATCTATTTAATGCCAAGAACTCAGAAGAAACTTAAAAGCTGTGATTTGTTTCCGAATATTTCGGTGCTTAGCACCCACGTGTGAATCTTAATCTACCCAAGCAAGCTGTACTAACCTCAGGTCGCTGAAGAAGGTGCTGAGCACCGAAATAATAATCACCAATAAAACAGGGACAAAAGAGAGTATTATTAGTAATATTTGAGGCCTTTTGACTTTGGCTGGTCTATTGCATGCCCATGATATAGTTTTAGAGTTTGTTCTGCGTCATTTCTTGTACTCATGCTACTTCAGTTTTATCTAACGTGGGGAGGTCCTTTGGCAGTGCGGCCTCGTCATATTCGCTTGTCTGATTTTGCGTATTTGCTGGTAACTGGATAGGTAGTAATCCGCCCACAGATCAAAAAGTGCTCCTTAATGTTCTAAATGGGGCACTCTGTGCGTAGGCATGTTAACATTATTGTGACTGGAATGCCGAAAATGTTTTCGTAACAGTGTTCGGTAAATTTTCTGTTGTG